CTATTGGCTATGGTTCCCAACCAATGGGAGCTGTGGAACCCATGCATGGGGCGGGGGCAGTGTGCAGAGCCCACTGGCTGTACCTATGCATAGGAGCCGGAGGGGGGACATGTTGCTGCTTCCGGGAGCTGCATGGAGCCACGGCAGGCAGGGAGCCTGCCTTAGCCCTGCTGCACTGCTGACCAGACTTTAACAGCCCAGTCAGCGGCAGACTGGAGCCACCAGGGTCCCTTTTCAACCGGGCATTCCGGTCTAAAACAGGACATCTGGCAAACCCTATCTGGCCCTCTCCCTGGGGAAGATACTGGGATTTGGAGTGAGCTGAGTCCTGATGGGGGTAGGCAGAGTAGAGCCCACTGCAAGTTATGGGTTAAAAAGTAAGGAGCCCTGTAATCCCCACAGTAGAACCAATTAAATGCCTGGTACAGGAACGTATAGGTGATGGGCGGTAACATCCCTCTCTGTGCTCAAATTTAGTAAAAGTTGCAGCTTGCCACTTAATTCCATGTGTCTGTCCTCATTTCACCTCTGTGTCCACATCAACAGATTCAGCTCAGGTTCAGTATGACTTCTGATTGAGGCTTCTGAGATGTTCTTATTTTATCTGAACTTGCTGGCTCATCTTTTATATTTAGATGGTAGGGTCAAATCATACTGAAGTCAATGGCAACTCCTCCATTTTGTGGTGTGGAGAAAGCTGCCCCTTCATGCTGCTAAATAGTCTGCAAGCTGAGGAGAGTCCCATCTTCATGGCTATAGCTCCAATGGCTCTGTTGGTGATATGTTGGCTTTGCTGCGGTCTATGGCTCTTCCACAGGCCTCCAGGTTGGCCCACGCAGAATACTTAACTATATTTTTAGGATAGGTCTGTCAGTGGCTATTAGTCAAGATAGTCAGGGATGCAACCCCATGCTCCGATTGTCCCTAAACCTCTGACTGCCAGATGCTGAGGCTGGACGACAGGGGTTGGATCATTCAATAATTGCCCTGTTCTGTTCATGCCTGCTGAAGTACCTGGCATTTGCCACTGTTGGAAGACCGGATACTGGGCTAAATGGACCTTTGGTCTGACCCAATATGGCCATTGTTATGTTCTTAAGATGTTGGCACCACCTTTTTGGAGTCAGATCTCCTTTTGAGGAAACATCTTAGGCTGTGTTTTATTAGTCAGTAATGACTCCCCAGTGCACTGTGTAAATATTTGGGATCACATGCTTTTACTCAGTTTATTTTTGCCTTGCTATATTTATCCTTGCTTACGCAATATTAAACAAAAACAATTTTTTAAACATTTGTACAGAGCAATTAGTTGCTGCTACAGCTTTAATTACAAATTCCCTAATATTTTTAATAGTCAACATTCTGTTAATGCAGACTCTTGCATTTAGTACATAGAAAAGTTTTGTCTCATATATTTAGCAACCTTTCCATTGCCTGAACTGCTGATTGTTTTGGGGAATCACTGAAAAATGAATCAATGAGTGCTTATCTTGGAGGATTACAGCAGAAACAATCTCAGTGATGACAGAAAGAGATCCATCAAAGGATGGATGGTACCTAAAGAGGTCTGAGGCTCAAAATTAATTCAGAACCTATTCTTAACGTTCCTAAAAGCCATCACTTAAAGCTGCCTCACCAGATTGGAGCAGGCAGCTGAGTGGCAGCAAAGGAAAGAGAGGATCAGGATCTTGATGGCATACTTCTTTTACTGCTTCCTTTTTATTTTTCAGACAGATAGACATTTGCAGAGCCAGGATAAGACAGTGCCAGCAAAAGCCAAGTTGTTACAATTTTGGACAACAGCATTTTATGATTACCCATATCAAAAGATTTCTGTCAAAAAAAGATTGCTCCACATTTTTCTCTTCAATCAACAACTGTAGGTCTCTGCTTGTGAATTCCACTAATATGCTACGGTATGAGTGTAGGCTTTTAAACACAGACTGTCTGCAGCTGATATATTTTTCTATACTATACAAATATAGGTCACCACAAAAATGAAAATATTTGCCAGATTACTGCATACAAGAAACGCATATTCCGGGGGGATTTTGCTATTCCTACAACAGTAGCTAACTGTTATCTAATAATTAATATGACCTTTTTTAATGGTGACCTCTGTATTACTCACAGATTATGCTGTGTGATTGTGAGTGACTGTTGAAGTCTAAAGAGATTGTTTAGCAGCTCATGAGAGAACAAGGAAGCCCTATTGCATAATTAAGGGAGAAACTTAAAATTGCATATGAGATCATAATTTTAGCACCTACTTTTTGTCCACTTCATTGCTTGAGGAAAGAAGAGAATTCTCGAAGTGCAGATTCTAGTGAAGACTGGACTCCATTTGGCAGAGCGCACATTCTGGTGGCTAGATTCACTAGGTGAAATCCTGGTCCCACTGACTTGACTGTGTGCACATGACAGCTGGCTCTGTCTCTCCTGGTCCACAGGCATTAGCTCAACATAGGTAAACCAAAAGGGAGCCTTCCCTGCAGCCATGCCCACAGGGGCTGTGCTAAGCTTGACTCAGCTGGACGTTGTTTTCTGCATACCTTACAGTATTTGCTTCTGATTCAAAGTGATTTAAATTTCAAAGTGCTGTCTTCTAAAAGTATCAAATGCTAGTTCATTTTGATTGCTGAGGATTTGATTTCATAAGGTTTCTTTGATTTTTGGTTGTGTGTTTTTATTTTTACAAAACAAAAAACAAGACCAGCCTCTTTTTCTGGTTTGAATGTTGATTTGAGATCCATCAAAATGTTCTTATTTCAGGGACTATTAATAACATATTAGACTCCACACTTCACTTGCATAAGAGCTTAAGTTCCCCAATTGATTCCATTGATAGGAAGCTATTCAAACTTTTTTCTGACTGCTGCAGACCAGAATTCCAGGTAATTTACGAAGCATTTGTCTGCTCTTGATAAACGCAATACAGCAGTGGTCCCCAAACATTTTATGTCACACCCCTCCTTACATCTCATAGCGGTCTTCTCTCCATAAGTGCTGACAATTATATAATCCCCTAACATGGAGGCTTGGAAGAAATCAAATATGCTTCTTAACAAAAAATCCACATGTGCAAGCTTCTGTTAAGTCTGCCTTACATCCTGACTGTGTTTCTCATTTGTGTGTGCTATTGCTGAAACCTCTTTTCAGCTGTGTCCTTTAGAAGGGTAGCTATTCCTCTGCTCCTGAAACAATGAACACAGATTTCCAAGAGAATGAAAATTTTTAGGTGACACACATGTTTTTGTCTTATTATAAGATAAACAAGCCCAGCAGCTCATTTGTTCTGGTCTTCTTTTATATTGGTTTCCAAATGCAGAGCTCTTGTTTTATCTTGTCTATTACTTTTGGGGTGGGGAAATAGCAAAATGAACCATTGCTCAGTCCGCAAGATTTCTCATGATAAGCAAGACACAACAGTATAGGGATGAGAAGGCTGGGTTTGGATCTAGCAGCAATATTCAATGAACCCAAACTATCCCCCTTTCCTCCACTGATGGCCTCCTGACGCAAAGGCTCATTTAGGCGTATAGCAAAATATGATACAAATATCATGCCCTGAAGCTATTTCACAATATTATATCTGACTCCCAGAACTTCATTGGTTAGAATTAGATCAGTATGGCCAAGTTTGGGTTCCCACTCAAATAAGCCAAAAGCAGCCACTGATGGAGAGAATGAAAGAAAGTAAATCAATCCGGATGTTTGCCAGCGGGTAAGGCAAAAGTCACTAGGCAGCTCCATGATACTTCCACTCTTTCTTTCAAGTATCCATCTTTCAATGAGTGGTTCACTTTGTTTTTGTTAAACATGCTATGATGGTCTTAATGCTGAAGTTCCTTCATTTGCGGACTAAAGACAATTATTTCAATGGAGTTTCTTGTAATTCTAATTGCCATATTTTTGTTAAAGATTTTTGTAGTTTGTGCTCACCTTCTCATTCAAATGGATGTGATGTTCATATGGTCTAAAACAAACAGTCTAACAGTATGCAAAATATGTCATGATAGTGTAACAGCTAGAATGGAATTTGGTTGGTTTGTGTATCCAGCCCGCATTCGGATATCACGCTATACACATGTGCTGTAGAATGCTAGAAGCGTGGGCATTAAAAAGTGACTGTGGCTATATCTGTACTATTCTTAATATGCAAATTCAAGAGAAAATAGCATATTACATATAAATATTACTTACTTGTGTATAATATCAAGGCTATGAAATTTAGATGGAACTGAAAGTATTATGGAAAGGAGCTGGAGTGCATAAGAAGTAGCTAGCTTATAAATAGCCTGATCTTGTAAACCCCAACACTCACCAGTAGTCCTTACTTATCTGTATTGTCCTATTAACAGCAATGGATAAGAATTCATTATCTGAATATTGGCTTGGAGGATCGAGCCCATGTTCAGCTAGGTAACTCATAATTGTTTTAAATGTAAGAGTGGCTTAGACAGCATAGACTTAAAGCAGCCAAAAATTACTTTAAAAGTAAAAGCATCTAAGTGAGCCATGTTGTTAATATTGTGATACTACATATGTACAAGCCTAGGGTGTCTCTGATGTCTCGACTCTCCTGTGTCCTAAGAAGTAGAGGTATCAAATTCAACTGCACTTCTTGAAGTATTCTCTTGCTTTTATTCAAATAACAGTTACATTTTAAAGAGTAAAGTTATAAGTACAGGTAAACAATTTTAACTTTTAAAAAAATGTGCTATGGGAAATCTTTTTGGTTAATAGTTAGAACATTGCAGGCTCTAGGAGATTAATAGGTCCTAAAGACTAGGTGGTGTTTGGGAAACTCACAGTCTTTTCAAAGATCAGCTGGCCGGCTCAGCTGGAATCTGCACAATTTCTAACAACTCAGCTGAAGTCTTCAGGCTGCTGTTTCCATGGGAACTGAAGTTGGATTGGTTAAAATGAGATAAAGAGCTTTAAAATCTTTTAAAAACGCCTTACTTCCTTTTTTTGTCTGACTCTATTTCAGTGGAAATTGTAATAGAACTATCAGCTAGCAGTCTTCATCTGAGTTGATAGAATTCTTGTTAACTTCATCAGTAGCTGAAGCCTGAGTTCATTTAAAAAAATTCCACCCCAACTAAAAACTGTTTGCCACATTAATTCCTTGTGCATCTGCATTGGCTGGGAGTTACAGCTGAATGAATGAAGTTGACCTGTGTACATCCCTGCACTTAGTAATGTATCCTTTTTGGACTTTTCCCCAGCTGTGTACAAGATTCCACTGGTGAGTATGAGATCTGCACCTGAATCATGTGCATGTGACATGGTTTATTGTAAAAAATGAAGCTCTTAATATAAATTAGATAAAATAAATTATCAGTAGAGCCACATTTTCAACAGTGATCTGTAATTTTATGTACCCAACTTTAAGGTGCTAGGGCCTGATTTTCAGAAGTGCATCTATAGATTTCACTGGTCCACATCTTCAGCTGGTATAATTTGGTGCAGCACCATTGATTTCAGTGGAGCAATGTTCATTTGCATAAGCTGATGATCTGGCCTATTAACTTTAGATGGGGTGTTAGTTTCTTAGCATTTTGGTGCATCCAATTTAGGGGCCATTACTGAAAATCTGAGTCTACATTTCTTGTGTTCTCAGCATATATATTACTTTAAGGGCAACATTCCAGTGAAGTCAATTAACTGGATTTATATCAATGGGTTTTTTTTCTGTACCATTTCCATAAATGATTCAATAGCATTCAATAGCGAAGGGCAACAAAAATGATTAGGGGTCTGGAACACATGACTTATGAGGAGAGGCTGAGGGAACTGGGATTGTTTAGTCTGCAGAAGAGAAGAATGAAGGGGGATTTGATAGCTGCTTTCAACTACCTGAGAGGTGGTTCCAGAGAGGATGGTTCTAGACTATTCTCAGTGGTAGAAGAGGACAGGACAAGGAGTAATGGTCTCAAGTTGCAGTGGGGGGGGGGGGTTAGGTTGGATAATTTGAAAAACTTTTTCACTAGGAGGGTGGTGAAACGCTGGAATGCATTGCCTAGGGAGGTGGTGGAATCTCCTTCCTTAGAAGTTTTTAAAGTCAGGCTTGACAAAGCCCTGGCTGGGATGATTTAATTGGGGATGGGTCCTGCTTTTGAGCAGGGGGTTGGACTAGATGACCTCCTGAGGTCCCTTCCAACCCTGATATTCTATGATTCTATGACTCATCTGAAGAGTTTATAGAAAATCAGTTTAGACATATTGAAAACTAGCTTGGGATTAATATAGGCTTTACAGTTTTTGTTTAGTTTTCAAATACGGTGATAGTTTAAGCTTTTCTTGTGCCAAAGAATAGCTAAACAAACTGCAGGTACCTTAAAACCAGTTGTCCAGATGTATTCCTAGATCAAATAAAAACATTATAAACAAATTTCTGGCTATAGCTGAGGAGCTATTGTCTAGGCTGACCATCATCCCACGCCCTGGAGGGTCAGGAGATCTCGCCATAAGCTATCACCCCCCGCACATACACTGATTATCTCAGGTGGACAAGGCCCCTGAACCTTACTTTTAGACTTTCATATGTTGACATGTATAGTTTATATCCTGATATGGGTTGATGGAGTGTTAACAGACACTCAAATGGAACATACATTTACAACAGCCCATCCTGGTTTTTTAGCCATACAGAGCACTTTTCCCCTTTGCTTTCTGAATCGAAGTTTAAGAATAAAAGTAAATTCTTTGTATGTAATATATTTGTGGGTGGGTGAGTGTGCAATAACTTCTAGTGGAACTGATTTCTCGAAACGGAGAATTCCTCTAGTGATGGCACAGTTGCTTTCCTGTTCATCTCTATCTTTGGCAGCTTATGAGGGTTGCTGGCACACTGGAAGACCACCTATTTCTATGATTTTTATTTGTATTGTAGGGGCGCCTGCAGGCCCCAAACAAAAATCTCTGTTGTGCTAGGCACTGTGCACAGATGTGACAAAAAGTCCCTGCCCCAAAGAGCTTACAGCAGAAGGCCTCAGTCCTGCCAATACTTATGCAAATATGTGATGGGGCGTGGTGCCTAGTGGTCACTACTTGAGGCTCCAGTCTGTGGTTTGGCAGTAACACCTAGTGGCTCAAGTCTGTGGGGGCAGTAGAGGAACTCAGGCTCTATCACTTCTTCCAGGTTCCAGGGCCCTGGAACCTGGGCAATGCTCCCTGTGTCACTTCCTCCCCCTTGCCTCTATGCTCCCCAGTGTTCTTTCCCCTCGCAGGCTGGTGCTTTGCTGTCTCTCTGGCAGCAGCCTGAAGTTTCATCTTGGGAGTCTGCTCCAGGCAGCATGGGGCTCCTGCTGTATCCCTACAGGAGCTACTAGTGCAAGTCTGCTCCATCGCACTGACCACCTTGAGTGAGCTGCGTTATGCCCCTTAAAGCTCCCCTTCCATTGCAAGCACAGCCAGAATACATGGTCGGATGGAGCCTTCTGATCCCAGAGCTGATTCCTTGACCCTCTGTTCCCCAGTGTGGGGTTTGTAAACCCTAGCACAACATCCATAACTTGAACTCTGTATTTTTGGCTTTGTTTGTGCTTTTGGAAAAGATACAAATAGAAAAAAACCCATGAAAATAACCTTGATTCCCTTGAGTTCATATGGCTAATATACTTAGGGAAGTATATTCTGGTGCGTTATACTGAAAATACAATGTGCAGCATGTTTATTACTCTTACTGTGTCAGTGAGACCCTAAGAGCATCCCAATATAAGAGGGCAAGGGGCTCACTGATATCAGGAAGTGAGTTCCTGTTTGACCAGTTCAGTGTACGCCAATTCGCTTATGTCATAATCTATATCTACTAGGTATGGAGTAAGTATTGGTAAGCCAATAACACACTGATCATTAAAAGAAAAGGAGTACTTGTGGCACCTTAGAGACTAACCAATTTATTTGAGCATAAGCTTTCATGAGCTACAGCTCACTTCACGAAAGCTTATGCTCAAATAAATTGGTTAGTCTCTAAGGTGCCACAAGTACTCCTTTTCTTTTTGCGAATACAGACTAACACGGCTGTTACTCTGAAACACTGATCATTAATATTCTTGCATGGAGTATGTACATTAAACACCCAAAGCCAATGGCATATTATCACCTAGGCTGACAAATTTGCAGGGGCGGCAAATTTATAACAGCAGCCAGAGGAGCCAACTTCCCCTGGCACCGGTGGGTGCTCGCGGCCCCCCGCCCCCGGCCCTGTCCCAACTCCACCCCTTCCTCACCCCCATTCCAACCCCTTCCCCAAAGTCCCTGCCCCAGCTCCGCCCCCTCCCTGCCTCTATTGGTCCCCTTCCCCAAATGCCCACCCCGGCCCCACCTCCTCCCCTGAGCGCGTGGCGTTCCCCTCTCTTCCCCCCTCCCTCCCAGCCATGTGAAGCTGTTTCGTACACAAGTGCTGGCAGGGAGTGGGGAGAAGCAGGACCTGGCTGCGTGCTCAGGGGAGGAGGTGGAGTCGGAGCAGAGGTGAGCTGGGGCAGGGGGGCGGGGCAGGGAGCTGCTGGTGCATGCTGTGCACCCACCAACTTTTCTCTGTGGGTGTTCCAGCCCTGGAGCACCCACAGAGTCGGCATCTATGGATGATGCGATTCTACCCATCATAGCGCGTATTGAAACCACCAATGACGGTGCGAAATTGTAAAAAAACTAAAAACAAGTTCATATGGGGGCGGCAATTATTTCAGGGCCTAGGGGCAGCAAAATCATTAATTCGCCACTGCCGAAAGCACTGTACAAATGAAGGAAATATGGGACTAAAATGTGTTTGGGGAGTGGGTAAATAGGGTTTTTCCAGACAAAGGACAGGCTGCAGCCTCCATGTAGGTGCAGTCACAGACAATTAGCAAACAGTCAAGTGGCCATTCATTAGCATATTGGACAGATCAATTGGCATTGCAGAAAGCATTAGCAGGGAAGAAACCAGCATGGAATCTTCTCCATCAGATTCCATGGCACCTTTCCTCACAGCAGGGGCACTGGACTTTGAGAAGAATGCATTTCGGAAGTTAACTGGATGATAGAAACTTGGGGTTCTTTGCTCCTCTCTATATTTCATCTAAGAAGACAAAGGAACTGAGCAGTTTGGACTTTGTCAGAGATCCTGACTGAGAGGGTCCTCAGCCATCTGGCTGTAAGGAAGTGTGGTAAGAATCTTACCTTGAACCAAGACTACAGTTTTGTTAAGTCATAGTCACTAGAAAGTGTTTTTCACTTTTGTTTGTAACCATTTCTGACTTTATCCCTTGTACTTGAACTCATGTACAACCCCTATCTCTTTTTGATGGAACAAATGTGTTTTACTTTTATTCTGTCATCCCAGTGCTGTGTTTGCCTTGAAGTGATTATTAATTCCAACACACTGCTGTGCTTTTGTTTCTTTAAAGGAGCAACGGTCCTTATTGCTCCTCTGAATGTTCCAGGAGAGGGATGGCACTTCAGGGCAGACAGTAATAACAATAAAAACAACAACAAAAATCCTGATTTGAAGAGGTACAGGTCACCCAGTACTCCCACAGAAATCAGTGTGAGCTACAGGTGCTCTGTACCTCTAAGAATCAGGACTTCTCTATGGGTCTCAACTAGGGTTGCCACCCATCTGGGTTTTACCCAGACAGTCCAGTTTTTGGCTTCTGTGTCCAGGTTCCATTTAGGGTTGTCAGGTGCCCAGTTTTCAGGGACCCGGCAACCCTAAATGGCACCCATACCAAAAGTCCAGTTACCATAGGGCTGAGGGGAGGAACTGGGTCATTAACCTGCACCAGCCCCTGCTCAGCCAGGGCTGCCTCCTACCTGCAGGCAGGCTCCTTGAGAGAATCCAGCAAGCGACGGAGCGAGAGAGCAGAGAAGTGAGCAAAGGGGGCTGGGCCTCGGGGGGGAAGAGTTGGAGTGCGGGACTTGGGGGGAAGAGGCGGGGCAGAGAGCGGGGGTTCGGGAGTCAGGTTACCAGCAATTAGCAAATTGTCAACCCTAGTCTCAACCTGGGCACTCCAAATTAGTGAAAACTTTTGAAATGTAGCAACCTGTTCTCCCCTTATGCCAGTTTTTAGTAATGTTCTGTTTTCCCAGAGAAAAATATATGAATATTTCATGCAGGCCGTACAAGGTCTAGGAAGCACTATAATCTTCCAGGTGTTTAAGTGTAGTCAGAAAACTTGTTTTTTCAGTAGAGGAGATGTTAAAATGTTGTAAAAGTTCTCACACAGTGGCAGCTCATGTCCAGAGTAAGTGCTATCTGCAATC